CCGCCAAGGTTCCAAGGTGTCCAACTCCGCGCCGTAGCCGCCTTCTCCCTCCTTGTCCCGCCGCTTTGCACTGTATGACTCCTTGTCGCGTCACCATCATCTGCTCCCCCTCGCTTGTGTTCCCCCCTTCTCCGAACCTATATAGTCTCGAGTGTTTCGTCCGTGTCATCATGCTCCGTCCTGTATCACACAACACTATCACTGCTTCTCCTCTGACCTTTGAGAAGAGGTCCTCCTCAACACCGAGACACATAGACATCTAGCTACATCGTATACTTTGCCAAGTGCTTGCTGAGCAGCACTCAACACCATCAGCCTTGCTGTTGCCAACTGCTTTGAATCTCCTCACCACCACCAACAATAACACCATGGAGCTGTCCGTCGACGTTCACTCGACCGACGTCTTCCTCTTCCCATCCAAAAGCCAGCGTCACCAGTCGTCGTCAGCCGCCTCGTCCGCATCAGCATCAGCATCAGAGGCAGAGTCGTCCTCGCTATCCTTGACGCCCTTCCCGTCCGCGTCGTCATCCGGCCCCGTCGCATCGAGCTACGATGGCGAGTCGCCGGCGTACAGCGAGGTCAAGGACATGAGCGCTTTCACCTCGACCAAGCTGTCCAACGACGACCATGCGCTGCTCTATGCCTACGTCGACATTCGTTTCCCCGCTTCCTCCTCCTCCTCCTCTTCCTCCTCTGGCATCCGCAACCGCCTCAAGAGCTTGACGCTCACGCTCCAGGGTCACGAGAACATCTCGTTCCCGCGCGGAGGCTTGGAGTCGAATCGAACCTACTTCAACGAAAAGTCGATCGACGAGGCGCTCGAGATCGACTACTTTGAGCCCGGTCGCACGTACAGGTTCGAGCGATCCTTCTTTGTCGACCACACCGCGGCGCCGTTCCAGAGAAGCCAGTGGGGGGTCAACAACCAGAAGCTCGTCGCCAAGGCGACGTTCCACGGGCTTCTGTCCAAGTCGCTGACGGCGAGCAAGAAGATCTACTTTGTCGACTGCCAGAACGACGAAGGCAACGAGATGATCGTGTGGGACAAGGACGTCAGGACGCATGCCGACGGCATTGGACCGTTCAGTCTGCGCAACCGATCCGAGGTGTTCACCGTCGGTGGCTACCTGCGCACCAACCTGGATCTGCTCAGTCCGCTCGATGGCGTCACGATCGTCGGGTTTCGAGCGTCGGTCGAGATGCGAACGACGATGGCTTCGCGGCGCGAGAGGCCGGGGTACGTCGAGACGGTCAAGCCGAAACGAGTGCCGTTCCTCTCGCTCGACCGTCGACAGGTCGAGGAGCTCTTCCGCACCAAGAAGCTCCAAGGAGGCGGTGAAGGTGTTGCACCCAACGGTGAATGCTACCCTGCGCTCGAGATCGTCTCGCGCCTTCCCGATGACAACAAGATCCGACCGAGCACCGTCGACGGCAACAACGCCGCCATCCGCTTCCGCAACTACATCGACTACGAGATCGACTTTATCGACGGCGAATACCGCCCCTCCTCGCCCGAAGGCAAGGACGACGAGCTGATCTACATCGACAACCAGAAGATGAAGCGCTTCCACGTCTCCATCCCCGTCTTCCTCAACTCTTGCGGCTGCCGCCCGGACTCGCTCAACCTGCCCAGCTATGCGAGCGAGGACCCGATGCCCGCCTCGTGCGTTCTCGAGAAGAGGGCGCAGCTCGAATCGATGCACGACAAGCAGACCGATCCGTCGGCGTTCCCTTGCATCTGCACGTTTACGCTCGAGTCGCTGCTCGAGGTGGAAAAAAAAACTCTGGCCGCCAGCCCGATCAGCAGCAGCGGGCCTAGCTCCTCGCCTTTTGCGGAGGAGTTGGATTTCTTGCCTCGGTACAAGTCGCTCGAGTAGTTGGAGCGAAAGATACCAATGTAGACAGACGCACTTGAAATATCCAAATCACTTTTAGAGGAGTCGTGCTTGGTTTCAAGCCGACTCTTCGCCCCCAAATTCTATCAAGAATAGCTGTCTGGCTCGCTCTTTTGAAAGCAGACCTCTTTGCTCGACGAGGACGCCTTTTGCCACCGCGCTCCGCAGAGAAGCGGAACTACAACGTGATCCGAAAAGGCTTGAGAGGTGTGATGTGTGAAAGGCCAAGAAGAAGGTTTCGTGAAATGAACTTTATGTGATCAAGCTGAGGACGTAGCGGAAAGTCAGACAACCCGCAAGAGCTGCCTCTGCTCCCTCGAGCTCAGCAGCATGTCATCCCTTCCGCTTTCCCGCATTCGACCTTGTACTGTATATAAACCACCATCTCCCACCTTCAGCCTCGTCTTCAAACCACCATCTCCCGCCTCCATCCCTTCCTCCCAACCACCACTCACAACCCCCTCCGACATCGAACAGGTCCCCCTAGCTCGTCGCAGAAAATCGCTATACGTCCACATCTCCCGCAACAAGCCGTCAGCAACCATGCCGCGTGCTCCAGGCCAACGACTTGCTCTTGGCAGGGCTATCGGACCTCGACCTCGACCTGTTTCGTCTGGCACAAGCGCTCCAGCGGGAACGAACACGGACAGCCAAGGTGGACCAAATGCTCCGCCAGCACATCAAGCGGCAGACGCGACCTCCGATGATCCGCAGTCAAGCAAGAAATCCCGCTTGGAGGGACGAGCTGAGCGCGAGTGGTGCCATGACCGCCTTACGTATCCGGCTGCGAAGGAGATCAAGATAGCCAAAGAAGACCTAGCCGAGTAAGTACTGTATCCGCTGTGACAGTAGCTGCGGGACTTCAGAGCCACTCTATACCACTCGCCGCGCATCGTGACTGACTCAGCCTGAATGTTTCTTTCTCAGGGATCTCGACTCCTTTGCAGAGTACGACAGTGGAAAAGCATCCCAAGCTTCACAGGATTCCGCACCAGGATCGAGCAGTCAGAGCCAGGACGGAGCTCCTGTGACTTCACCCAGTAAAGCATCGACACTTCCGAGCGGAAACAAAGCATCCGATGGTCAGCCGATGTGGGACTTCATCCGCGACGCTTGGCCATACGCCTATGGGGACCGATCCCTCAACGACATGTTTGCGCGCGCACTCACTCTGCAGCTCATCGATGGGAAGGGAGCATACTGCTCGCTCGAGACGACGCTTGGTCGCATGGGATTTGCTCTGGCCGACATCGCACACGTTCGCCACACATTCGAGATCGCCTTCTTCACCATGCTCGCTCTTGAGCTGCTGCGATCCGGCTTCACGTGCTTGTCTCGCTGCCGCAAGTACACCACTGCGAGTCAGATGCGGATCTACGACGTCCTGAAGGCAAACGCGGTCATTCGAAAGTGGATGGATCCGCATCCCGGCTTTTACGACGGTCTGCTCAAGGTCACGGCTCGTAGAGCTTGGAACACTCGTGGAATCGATGAACGCTTTGCCGAGCGCACTACCGCTGACGGTGATATCACTGAGGACCTTGCAAGAGACCTCTATCTCCGACACGTTGCCGCCAACAGGCACTCGTGCTTCGTGGACATCGCTATCAACGCCGTCATGCAGCAGCTGTGGAACAAGACCAATTCCACGTGACTGCAGAATAAGAAACAAGCCTTGGCTTACACATGGTGGCAGTGGGACGAGCTGCGAGAATATTGCGGCAAGGAACTCATGCTCTGGCCTGGCAAGGATGAAGCTGGCGACAGGTACTGGCTGCCCAAATACGAGGAGGGCATGTCAGGCACCGCTGAGGAGCTGGTCGCGATCGGCAAAGACTATGCCTCCGTCGTGCACGAGCGCTGGTTCGAGCTGAACGATGACAAGTCAGCGGCGACATCGACTCAAGAGCAGTAGGAAAACAAGCAGCGAGCAAGACTTCGAAAGGCGTCGACAGAATCGAAAAGACCGTGCTGGAACGCACGCGCACGACAAGAGCATCACAGACAAAACGCTCAAGAAGATCGAGGAGGCTCAACAAGGCGGCATGGCGACTCATCGGCGGTCAAGGGATGCGAAAATAAGACAAGACAAGAAGCTATTCGAGCGATAGCGCTATGTCGGAGCACTCGAAAGAGATGAAGCGGCAGACCGCCTGCACCGGGCAAGTACAACGGTACGCCGTGGAGAGGGACGCCCGGCACGACAAGCGCCAGGACGATCGAGCAGAATGCGAGGATGCAGCTCGTCTACCTCAAGGCGAAAGAAGAAGAAGAAAGAGAAAAAGACCGAGGACCCAATCAATGACTCCACCTACCCGCACCATCACTACGCTGTCCACCACTTAGTACTCCTACTTCGTCTCGATTGGTGCCAGTACAGTTGATCTACGAAAGGAGATTGCTATCCCGCGGAAGCGCCGTTGAAGAACGCGCCCCTTGTCGTCGCGTTGGTCGCACACAACTCTGCGCAACACCGAACGATCTCACTTGCGCTTCCCTCGAGGATGCTTATCAACCATAGCTAGTAGCTCTGCACCCGCAATGTCGACGAACACAGCTTCGATCCCCCCAATCACGACACGACCTCAAGAACCACGACATGAACACCTCTTACAAGAGATCCTACCACGCAGCGTGACTGAACAAGCCTCGCATCATTCGCCCTCGCCAGACACTTCGTCCGCCCTCTTGCCCTCGCACTCCTCAATCTGGGCTCTGCTGCCTGTTTGACGGGGCTTGCACGGCATCGCTTGCGGCTCTCTGGCTCACTTGACCGTGAAGCCACCTCTTCCTACGAATCAGTGCCGGATGCTCTTGACCAGCCTTGCAGTTCGTCTCTGGCCAAAGCGTCCTGTTTCAAGCTCGACGAAGATCTGCAATTCCCCCACATCAACTTCATCTGTCCCCTTACGCAGAAATGTGTGCCCAAATGAAATGTATCCGCACCATCGACCGGACGAGTGCGCGAAACCACCATACTGAAAAAATTTCAAATGACCATAACTCTTACATTTCCTGATCAATCGTGCTCGAAATTGCACGTGCGTGTTCCTTCCGCTCTTGCGCATCTCTGGGATGCAAAAAAATGGCAAAAAATCGAAAAAAAGGTCGTACCGGGATTCGAACCCGGGGCAAGAGAAATTCGGATGCAAGCAGGCCTGCTGCGCTTCAAAATCTCCTAAGTTGACCACTACTCCATACAACCCGGCTTGCCATCTCGATTTGTCCAGCATACATAAGCAGTTAAATGAATCTCAATGGATTTTGCGTGAGTGTCGTACGTAGGCTTTCGCTCGAGACTGCTCTTGGCTGATCTCATCGCAGCGAAGAATGAAGACGACGGCATACAGTAGCATGGACCGACCGATGCTTGTGGGAACGGGATCGGCTTTATCGCTGACGCACATCCTCACACACCGCACGTAGGTTGGGGGGGGGGGGGCAGCAACCGCGACCGAGCACACGCCGACCGCGCAGCACGCACTCGCATTGTTCTCGCGTGCGCCTCGGCCACGTTTCTTTCTCGTCTCGCCTCCTGAGTTATGCCGCGACTCTGGTTCGATGCGCGCAGCGCACGCTCGAGCTTCGGCGGAACTTGTTTGCACAGCGACGAGGCACGCGCGCGAGAGGTCGGCGAATTCGAGCGAGATGGAGAAATTGTTCCTGCATGCTTTGATGGCTCGGCCCAGCAGAGGGGCAGTCGCGTGGCTTTGAATCCACGGGCAGGTTGTGTGGTGCGCTCGATGCCGGATGGCGCATCAATGATAGGAAGCCATCGATAAAGAGGCATTCGTAGAGACGCCGTTGTGGAACTGGCACACTGCAATGTCGCGCTCGGTTGAACTCATGGAGGGCTTCACTAGCCCACTACGCTAACGGCGAGCGACGAAGCGGACGCAGCGAAACGGTGCGGTGAACTCGACCCTATTCACCGAGCAAGTTGACGACAGTGTGAGATCGACCAACATGACCGCTTCAAGATTCGCCGAAGCCATCGGTCGATCCTCTCCTTTGGTGGGGTGCGGGGTAATCCTCCGCATACTCGACCCCGTCTCTGGTTACCGACAGAACCATGGATGCGAGGGTGCGGGGATACGAACGCCGGTTAGAGGGTCAGCTTCCTCGGAGCGGGGAACTTGGCGTGGCGACCGGTAAATTTCGCTCTACCTTGGCGTCGGCGTGTGCAATTGACCGTTCCACGGCGAGGCGTCGACCGGCAAACCGCACCGACGTCGCGCCAGCAAACAGCATCCAAGAATGCCGCTGCTTCAGCCGTGGTAGACGGAATGGCTCGTCCAGCGCTGCCTAACAAAGGCGCCTGAACAGTCAGGTGCGCTCTCGGAACACCTTTCTCGTGGCTCGCTAAACGCTTTTCACTTGGTGCGAACAACACTTCGCCTAACCGGACACGACCTTACCGGCGGGCAATGGATCCGTCTGCATCCACAGTGCAAGCGCAGGACGTGGAAACGCGGGGAAGCTCAGAATGCCGCAAGAGAAAGAGAGAGATTGCCGGTAGATCGAACGGAGATCGAGTTGAGGTGCTAGAAGGGATCGGCGTGGCAAATCCCCGAGCATTCCTTTCCTGCCAAAAGCGCAACGTCGCCTCGGCTCGTCTTTACTCGCTGGATTGCTGTCTGGTGGCAGCGATGCTAGACTCGTCCGTCGTGTGCGTGCCAATGAGCGATGGCGATACCGTTAATGCCGGAACAGCCTACGACCGGAGCGCATGCTTCGGGGACTTACGGAAACCGCCACTGCGACCGCACGGTGCTGCACTCCGGCCTATGAAAACCACAGTGGACCGGCTCGAAAATATGCACTCGATTAAGAAAGCCGACGCAAAAAAGGTCGACGCAAAAGCGGTCTCTGGTTGTGCGCTTTCGGAGCTGCAAAGGTGCGGATCGAGGCCTTTGGCCAAGACAGCGCACGCCGGAAACCGACGGTCCGGTAGGATAGCGAGCACTCCGCGTGCGGAAGAAAGCTTATCACCCCCACACGACCGCACACTCGAATCCAGAAGGTTTGTTCAGAGATGTGTCACCGCCGAGCAAGAGGCCTGGACTTCGGCCCCACGCTGTCGTCATGCGATAGCATCGAAATGGACGCACCCAAGTCAATGTGTGGCTGGCTGAAACTTAATAGAACGCAAGCGGTGGTTGGCGACACCGGTTGGCCGGCATTAGGCTCGGTCGCTATGCGTGGGGCTCCTCATTGGCCCTTCGCTTCTCGACGCCGTATTGGGCAGATCTTTGTGTGGAGATAAGCTCAAGCTGAGACTTGTTGGCCGACACGAGCTGCCACCGTCGAATGTCGTTTGCCGAGCAGCTTTCTGTGGTCCATTATGTGCGTCTCGGCACTCGAGGTGTGGATAAGCTAAGGATGCAGCGCAGCGCCCAATCAACGTCGTCGCAGTCAACGTCAAGAACAGCGTTGTGTTGCGGCAGAAGGGCCAAAAAATGTCCGGAGAGACCCGAATGCAAACGGATGCGGGGGTGGCGACTGACCACATACGCCAGTTTGGATGTACCAGTCGATCGCCTCTTTCCGCTACACCATCGAACGCATACAGCCTAATGGCTCGGCAACCCCCTTCACGTCCAGCCAAGCCCACCGTGGTGCTAAAACAGCGGTTTCCATGGCGCTTCTGCTGCGCTTGCTTGCTGCGTGTGTGCCTTGATGCACCAGCCGAACGTGCTAGCGCCAAGTCGCTTGGGACACTGTCAGCATCGCAGCACCCGCTAACTAATTTCACACGCCTGTCGACACGTCGGCAAACGCGCAGCATTGGCCCGTGTCTTGACGAGCGGGATCGAGCGGCACGACCGACGACACTGCCAAGCGAAGGGGCGGTTGGCCTCGTTCCTCCTCCTCCTCCGCGCGTCGGGCGCGGGGTAAAATTAAAAAAGAAAAAAGGGGGCAAAAGTCACAAAATGCGGGGGAAGCATCGAGAACGAGCACGAGCACGAGCGAGCGCCGCCTTGTCAGCTCGGACCTTTCGGCGCCTTCCGCCTGCTTTCACGAGGCAGGGCCAAGATAAGCGCGGGTCGTGTCCGGCTGAGCTTGTCCCTATCACACCACAAGCTCTCTCAGCAACGCAACAACGGGCAAGGGGGCGATAAGCACACCATTTGCTCGGTCCTCGCCGGCTGTGCCAGTGGCGCGAACCGCCTTCACACTGTGTCACTGAGCCAATCAGCAAAGAAAGTGGGCCACCAAGAGACGATGTCGCTCGACGTGACATCCCGATGTGAGGCGATTCCCCCACCCCAGCGTGTGAGCAAAGTGGGATTCGATACGTCGGATCTAGCTCGGTGGAGATGCGCATTTGATCCCGTGGCCGGATGAAGGCGCGGGCAGCACAGCCCTGTTTGCAACGCAGGAAAACGAACGCGAGAAGGAGAAAAAAAATTTCCGAAGCTTGCAGGCAGGGACAGAGAGAGCCCCAGTAGAATCACAGGAAGAGGCCGCGGCGGATCTCGATGATCCGCATTCAGGTCCAGATCCAGGCAATACCAGGGCGGGGAGCTGAGGCGACCAAGAAAAGGAGAAGCTTCGGTCGAGGGAACAAAAGGGAAATAAAAAAGGAAATTCAGAAATTAAATTCGATTTTTTTCTCGAAAACCTGACGCCTCCACGAAAAGTCGACGCAAGATTCGCCGTGACGCAGCACGAGATCCTCCTCCTCATCTCTCTCTCCCAGTCTGCAATGCAGCGGAAAGAATTCTCCGATCCAAACACGACGACCAAGCGAAGCGCTCGCGCATCTCGACCGGACCGCTAGCGAGCTGCCTCTCTCTGTAGGCCGCTCGTTGGCGAGGAGGGAGTAGGCTTTGTGCGGCGGGAAGCGACCGTATCGATAGCGAATCGTTCTCAGCGCGCTTCTCGCGGCCTCTACCTATGCAGCTCGAATCCATGCCGCTGGTCGAGATGCGGTGTAACTACGCCACAATCTGCGTTCTCTCAATCGCCGCCGATTCGCGCGTTCATGCTGCTGCTCTCCATTGTTGTGGTGTCAGGTCTGCTAGTGGCTTTCAAGAGCAGAGGACGGATGATCCTCGGTGTGGCTGTATGCGCTTCTGCGTGGAAAGGGGTGGAGATCATGCCGCCACCGCAAGCCTCGATCCCGGGAGCACCGGAATCCAGCCTGCGAGCTGTAATTCTCGCAAGACCACGATTAGGCTCGAGCTAAAGCGTAGTTCCCACGATATGTGGCGTGCGCCACAGCATCCTCCAACAGCGAGCCACCGGTTGAGTGTGCAAGAGGCTGTCACACACGGCGAGCAGACGGCAAAGCCAAGAGTCGACAAAGAAGTCGGAGTAATAAGCTCAAGCGAACGTGACAGGCCTCGCTTGGTTGAATGCTGCGTATTGCATGCACTCGACCTCTTCATTTACTGTAGGCAAAACCGAAAAAAAGGTCGGGTGTTTCCGTCTCCCAAGAAGCAGCAGCAGCTCGGCTAGCGCTGACATTGCGACACCGACACCGGACGGCAATCCGAGTGCATCCCGCACTCCATAATGCCCTGACAGACGCAGCCCAGCAACGTGCCTTGTAGGCAAGGGCTGCCAAGAGTCGTCGCGGCCAAGTTACGGCGAGCTTGGAAGAAGCAAGACCTTGGAGCCCAACGGAGCTGGTTCGGTGACGATCGCCTTCATACCGTGCCAGCGTATGGGCCAATGGGGACAGGGCGTCAGCATCGAATCGACTTTGGAATGGAGTTCAGCCGGTGCTGCGTGACAGATGTGCAGAACTGACGACAGCAAATGAGGACACGAACG